ATGCAGCCAGACAAATAAGAAACGTCAAGGCGCTCATGAGGTTTTGAATGTATATAAATCTGTGTCGTCAGCATACAAATGGTAATGAAGGCCGAGCGATCTCAAAAGGTGGCCTAAAGGTGACAAATAAATGTTAAAAAGTAAAGGACCTAAAACTGACCCCTGAGGGACGCCAGTTGAGACAGAACTAATCTCAGACCTATAAACCACCCATAGAAACAAACTGGGAGCGGTCAGTAAAATAAGACCTCAGCCACTTTAAGGCAGTCCCAGACACACCAAACACCCTTTCAAGACGAGTAAGTAGTAGACTGTGATCCACAGTATCAAACGCGGCTCTTAGATCAAGAAGAATAAGAATAGATGTTGCACCAGAGTCAGAAGCCATCCACAAATCATTGGTGACTTTGACCAAGGCCGTCTCAGTACTGTGAAATTTACGAAAACACGACTGAAGAGGTTCGAAAAGATTATTAACTGTGAGATGGTTACACAAATGAGAGGCAACAATCCCATTTAAGAGTCTCAGTATCAAGCTGAGGAAAGTTAATAAGAAGACCACCAGTGAACTCTGGTGAACAGTGACATGTGGTAGTAGAAACAGGTGAAACGGACATTTGTTTACAAACTATCAACTTTTGAATTGAAAAAATGAAGAAATTAATTACATAACTGCTGAGAAACAGGCATGGTAGAAACAGCATTAACTTGAAGCAGACAATTTATAGTTTGAAACAAGTGTCTCGGGTTTCCTTGGTTGTTTTCAATAGTCTGAGAGAAATATCTTGCAGTCTTAATTAGTCCTCTGTAATCACCCAGAAGATCCTTCCAAACTAGATAGTATACATTCAAGCCAGTGAGACGCCATTTATGCTCCATTTTCCGACAGGCAGCCTTCTTAGTGCGCAGATTGTCATTATACCATGGAGTAGAACAAGCAAAAGTAACCTTGCATGTCCTCAGAGGAGCAAAAGTGTCTAAGTTAGCAATAAGAGTATTATTCAACTGTTGAAACTTTCTCTTCCAACGATGTTAAATGCAAATTACCTAAGATGGAAACAACAGAACTCGAAAAAGCTGTTTGATCAATAGATTTCCACTTCCGGAATGTTACAGTTCGAGTGGTACGCACACTTGGTCGATGTAAATACAAATCAAAGAAGACAGCTGAGTGGTCCGACATACCAATGTCAACGGATGATAACTGAGATGCAAATGTGCCATTTGTAAGCACAAGGTCCAGTGTATGACCTTTGCAATGCGTCAGACTTTTTACCAATTGTGAAAAATGAAAACAGTCCATTAATGATAGAACTTCCTTTGCCATTACAGAGTCACTTTGGTCCACATGAATATTGAAGTCCCCCACAATAAGGATTCTATGGAACTTCGGGTCAGCATTGTCAAGAAGTCAGCAAAATCAGACATAAAAACTGTTTCTTTATTCATGGTTAAAATGATTTCCCAAGGCACATGTCATGCACTGGTTGGTTATGCAAGATGACGTGAGGCTAGTTAAAGGGATAAATCTTGGAAGACAAATGCATATAGGGTCAGTAATCTGTCGCAGTGGGTGAGATATGGGACAGGAGTTGGCATGGCCCCCATCAGCGCTGTTATGTAATCCATCTGTGCTGCCACTGCGGGCGATTGGCACAGCCTTTAAGAGAACGGCAGCAGGGTGACCCTCACCAGTCCCCTGACAGCCACAGCTCTATCCACAATCCCCTTCTCAATCTGTCTGGCTTCTGCAGCCTTTCACCTTCAAATGACCTGGAACAAACACACGCACTGAGATTCAGAGACATTATGAACTTGTTTTGATGTCCAACGATATTTCAGGAGGAACACTGGACATGATGGTGACTGTGTTGTTCTTTAAAAGTGATGTTTTAGCATCACTGTTCACAGAGGACATGTTCTTGCCTTCACATTCTTACTTGTGTCAGAATTTGTAAGCAAAATAGGTTGTGAATGTTATTTGACTTTTAAAACATGTTGTGAGACCCCATAAATGCTTGTTGAAAACTGTATGAGCAGTAACTAGGAATATTATGTTTTATACATGCTAAAGCACCCTAGCAACTCTATAGCAACTATCTACCAACCACCCAGAACACCCTTGAAAATGCATTACAATGATCTATCAATCAAAACATCTTTGCAAACTCCATAGCAACACCCTGGCAACCATCCAAACCTAGCAAACACATAGCAACATGTTAACAGTCCCCCAGACTGCCTTAACAATTGCATAGCAACATTCTAGCAGTGACATCACCCAGAATACTCTAGCAAGTGCATAGCAACACCCTGGCAACCACCATTCTAACAATGACATAGTAACACATTACCAGCCCCACAGAATGCCTTAGCAACTGCATAGCAAAATTCTAGCAACTGGACCCTAGCAACTGTATATCAATATTCTAACATTTACTTAATAATGTATAGCAATGACCTAGCAATCACTCAGAACACCCTAGGAACTGCTTATGCTCACATCCACTTAACAACTGCATAGAACAGCCTAGCTACCATTCAGGCTAGAACACCATAGCAAGTGCATAGCAATGACCTAGCGACCACCCATAACACCCTAACAACTGCATAGCAATGATCTAGTAACCACCCAGGCCAGAACACCCTAGCAACTGCATAGCAATGACATAGCAACCAGGCCAGAGCACCATAGCAACTGCATAGCAACAAACTAACAACCACCCAGAGCACCCTAGCAACTGCATAGCAACAACCTAGCAACCATCCAACCACCTAGAACACCCTAGCAACTTCATAGCAACAACCTAGCAACCAGGCCAGAACACCATAGCAACCGCATAGCAACAAACTAACAACCACCCAGAGCACCCTAGCAACTGCATAGCAACAACCTATCAACCATCCAGGCCAGAACATCCTAGCAACTGCATAGCAACGACCTAGCAACCACCCAGAACACCCTAGCAACTGCATAGCAATGACCTAGCAACCACCCAGACCAGAACCCCCTAGAAACTGCATAGCAACAACCTAGCAACCATCCAACCACCTAGAACCCCCTAGCAACTTCATATCAACAACCTAGCAACCAGGCCAGAACACCCTAGCAACTGCATAGCAACCATCCAGGCCAGAACACCCTAGCAACTGCATAGCAACGACCTAGCAACCACCAGAACACCCTAGCAACTGCATAGCAACGACCTAGCAACCACCCAGAACATCCTAGCAACTGCATAGCAACAATCTAGCGAACATCCAGGCCAGAACACCCTAGCAAATGCATAACTAAAACCTAGCAACCACCCAGAACACCCTAGCAACTGCATAGCAGCAAACTAGCAATCGCCCAGGCAAGAACACCATAGCAACGACCTAGCAATCATCCATAACACCCTAGCAACTACATGGCAACAACCTAGCAACCACCCAGGCCAGAACACCACAGCAATGACCTAGCAACCATCCAGAACATCCTGCAACTGCATGGCATGACTTCCAAAATTCATAAGCAAAATGGGTTGTGAATGTCATTGGACTCAAAACATGTTTTGAGACGCCTTACATGCTAGTTGAAGACTGTATAAGCAGTAACTAGAGGAATATGATTATACACACTAAAGCAGAGAGCGGAGCAGATGATTAATCTGTCAGAGAGCTGCGTTTGTTCCACTGCCTGATAGTGGACGTCAATGCAGAGCTGAAACTGGCACACAATGGTCTGTGACGCACATCTCACTGGGCACTGGCCTTTCCTCCTTCCTTTGCGTTTGGAAGAGTGCTTTACCTGCTGACCCTGTTCATCTGCAGAAACTCCATCAACCACAATTTAGACAAAACAGTGCAGTTTCTCTGATGAGGTCTGATCGCAGCACATCTCACTAATTAATGCGAATGCAATTGAAGAGAGATTAATTTTCAATTTGATTTCACAAAAGAGCATAATCCTCATAGTGAATGTTGCTCAATAACACTATAGATTTAACTGGCTCTACATACATTTTTTTTTTTTTATGTATTGCTTAAAATGTTAATATGAGATCAGACAAAGTGCAAACATAGCTGCGTTGGTTGGATTAATAGCATCAGTCATCTGTGAACTTTAATTTTTTTGCATTGTCTAATAAAATTTACATGTATTGCTATCAGTATTTTGTAAAGAATGTTTTGAGTTCTATTGAATTCTAGTATTTACTCACTATATAGTTCCAAGCCTTTGTGCCTAAATCTATAAAAAATACATACAAATAAAATAAATAAAATTCTAGTTTTAAAAATGATTGAAATGGGATCAGACATTTTAAACACAGTTGTGTTGGTTGGGTTAATAGCATTGCACTGACCATCTGCAATCATGACGAACGACTCTATTTTTTGCAGTTTGTTTTAAATAATATCGCATGCATTAATGGCAATTCTTTTTTTTTTATTTTTTTAAAGAATGTTTTGTTCATTAAAAACAGAAAATTACATCATTTACTCACCATATTGTTCTAAACATATCTAATTTTAAGACAGCTGCTGGTAGCCATTGACTTTTATAGTATGGGAAAAAAACCCTGTAGAAGTCAATGGGTACCGGCAACTGTTTGGTCACCAACATTTCTCAAAATATCTTCTTTTGTAGTTAAAAGAAGAAACTAACACAGGTTTGGAACAACTTGAGGGGGAGTAAATGATGACAGAATATTCATTATTAGGCGAACTGCCCCTTTAAACAGACAGAATTGCTGGTTAAAAGAAATGATTGTTGGCAAAAAACAAACAAACAAAAAAACTCAGTAACGGTAGTGGATATTCCAAAACTTCTGAAGTCATTTTTTAACTTTGTGAAAGGAAAAGACAAAATTTTAAGTTGTTATTCTGTCAAAAGTTGTAGTTCTCAAATTTATTATGCATACAAGTTTTCAGTGAATAATGACATGTATAACTTTAAACATATTCAGGAACATGTTTCCATATTTATGGTAAAAATAAATAAAACATCTGGAAGCCTGACAGTGTTGTCCTCTCAAATATGAATTTATTTTCCTGTTTAATGGGAAACGCACATACAGGAAGCTCACGAGGAAAGGTCGCGCCTCAGCGGCCTCTCTGTCCCACTGAAAACATTTAAGGGCTGACGAGTGTTCGCAGGGCATCACCTCTGTTCATCTCAGTCGCTCCTCCAGGACGGTCTCACACGCTCGCTTCCAATCAATAATGCAGAGCTCCGTCCATTATGAGACGTGCTGGAGAGAAAGATGCTTAATCACACGCATACATTACACACGTGTGACACGCTTCACCGTACGAACGAACTGAGCTCCTGAAGGGCTGGTTGGCAAACAAAAATGACAATTATCATTAAAATATGCTCCTCCTCATTTACTTCTTCAGGCACTCTTGTACAGCCGAGACAATGTCATCGAAGATCATGTCTCTGTTTTCCTTTGTGATCTGTGGGAGGACAGACAGACAGATGGACAGCATAACTTAACTGGAATTTGAGACTTTCTTAAAAAAACAAAATAAAAGTGGCAAAAATGAGCAATAGTGAAATAAGGGCTGATTTGTTCGTTAAACATCCATTTCAGAGAGTTCTCAGCTTAAGTTTTGACCAATTAGTTTCCATGATTTTTGATACTGAATAAGACTTTTTTTATAACTGAATAACACCATTTTATATAGCTTGAACTCACAAACAGCTAGTTGTAGTGGACCAATAACTAGAAAAATCTAATGGCAATTAGATAAGGACAATTTCGAAAAAATACGAGTAAAAAAAAAAAAAAGCATATAAAAAGTGAAAATTAAAAAAAGACTATTTAAATGACAATTTGAACAAATATTTGTTTAAAAAAAAGACCGATAAATATCTTTCCCAATGCAAATAAAAAATTACACCTTTTCTTAAAAACAAAAAAAAGACAAGGAATCTGCGTCCTTTTAAATTTTTCTGCACTGATTGTCTGGAATTTTGCAGAATAGATGTAGCTGAGCTCCATATTATATATTGGTAGCTGACAGCATTATAAAAGTATTGTTTACATTTAAGTCAAATCTCTTGCAGTTCTGAACAACAACGATTAAGTGCTGGAATGCACTTATTAAAAAAAAAAAAAAACGCCACCATTACTCAAAAATGACAATAAAAAAAAAAAGGCAATTTATATATTCCTCAATATTTCCAGGTTTGATTGTATGAACTGTGTAATTATAACTAAACCTGAAAAAATTCAATTTATTCAGTTCAAAAGTATGAATATTGTTAAGATACAGCTAGCTGTGGAACAAGCAATGTTCAATTAGTTAATTCAAAATTATGAAATTCTGACCGGTTTTAATTATGTTGGACTGACAAATATGCACCACATTAAGTTTATTAGTTTGTTAAAACCATGTAATCCAAATGCATGGAAAATTAATAAGCAATTCAAATACATAAATCTTAAATTTAGGCCTTAATTTTTTTTGAGTGTATCATAGGGTCCTATAAACCTATAAAAAAAGGACAAGAAAAACGTATTTCTGTAGCATCTATTGAATGATCTGCAGTATCTCTCTGCCGCATGTGTGAGAGTTGCATGCAAATGAAAGGCGAGAAGGAAGTTTGCTTGGAAAACTTGAGTGATGTAAAACAAGTTTTTACCATAAATATCTTGACGTCCTGTCGGCTGCGCACTTCCTCCACCAGCGCGAGAGGTTTTCCTTTAGGAACAGGGATGGTGCCCAGGATGGAGCAGCTGGAGGCGTCCAGCGTCTGTCTCACCGCACGGATAAACGCTTGGCTGAACAACTCCATCTTTCCGATCTCATCGATGACAAACAGCCTCTTGCTTTCCTCCCGCATCTGTTCCATAATCAAACTCAAAACTCAGCAAGAAACATGATGTGGAACACGTCTTCAAGGAAATGTTTATTTAATAACCCTCATGTTGTTCCAAAGCCCTTTGCTTTTCTTTTTTTCACTGAACATCGACCGTGACCTGTGGCTGCTAAGCTCTAAAAATGACCAAAGACATTTAATGTGATCATAAAAGTAATTCTCTGATCATCTTCACAGCTCTCAAATCTCATTCACACATCTGCATATTCAAGTTTGGTGCCTTAATATGCATCAGACTTGAACTGGTGTTTGGCATCACTGACATGCCAGAACTATTGCTTTAGTCATATAGTTTCACGCAATACTGGAGAAATGATCATAGTTAACTAAAACTAGAACTTAAAAAAAAACTAACCAAAAAAAACCCGCTTAAACTTATTTCAGCTAGTTGCCAGGTAATATTTCTAATTTTCATTTAATAACAAAACATCTGTATTACGTAAAAGAAAAAGAAAAGTTAACTGAAATTTAAATAAAATGTCTAAAAAACCTAAACTATGTGTGGTTCTGGTGTAAGTTTTTGTTTTTTAATAATTTAAAATCAATTTAAAAAACTTATTTCAGCTAGTTGCCAGGTAACATTTCTAATTTTAATTTAGTTTAACATGATGTACTAACATAACTAAAATTAAATTAAAAACTAAATAAAAATAAATTATATATGTTTTTATATATATATATATATATATATATATATAAAAACTTAAACCCTGTGTGGTTCTGGTATATGTTTTTGTTTAACAAAACACAAACTTATTTTAGCTAGTTGCCAGGTAACATTTCTAATTTTCATACAGTTTCTCTTGATGCATTAACATAACTAAAATGAAAACAAACAAACAAAAAGTTAATAAAAAAAGACAAAAAAAACCTGAATAAAATAACTAATTTAAAAATGGAAAAAAAATAAAATAAAATACATGACAATTACTAAAACTTTCAAATTAAAATGGAAAATATGAAAATAAAAACTAATTCAAAATACTAATAAAAATGATAGAATCTCAATGATACTAGAAGTGCACTCAAAGTTTCCGCGCACAGCGCATCCTACGCTAACCAGGAAAAAGATGACGATGATGAAGGCAGCAGACACACTCAATGTGTCAATCAGGAACGCATGACTCTAGGTCACAGAGAGATGAAATATGTGTCTGCATATGATAGCATAGTGGTGAAGATATGAAAGTTCAAAGCCTGAAAAAGACTGACTCAAACTGAAGAGAGTTGCAAAACTTTCCTATCATGCAACATTTCCAGTGAATAATAACTTACATTTCCTCACATAAATCTCCTGCTTTTTGGAGCTTGAAACTTTTTGTATGGTTTTTGAGGCTTTGAAGATTCTGCTAAACATCGTCCTTTGTGTTTTTCAAAGTCAGGCCAGAGACTTTCCCTGTGTTTTTCAAAGTTCTAAATAGAACAAAGATTTTTGGAGTTTTTCCATTTTTGAGTGAAAACTGTTTCAAAGCAGTGTTATTTTAGTACCACTGATATCCTATTTATTAATAGTTAAAATTTTGATTAATATTTAATAATATTGTGAATTTGGAATATTTTGAGTTATTTCAAAGATTTAGTAATTTTGTGTTTTTGTCATTTTTAGTATGTTTCATTTGTATTCAATATGGCTATATGGTTTTTATTACTGTTTATTTCAGTTTTAGTAATTGTATTAAATCAAGTTAAACTACATTAAAATACATGTAAAAATAGTTTAGTTCAAACCAAAAAAGTTTTTAATATTATATTTTATTTCAGTTATTGTTAATTTTATTTCAAGTAACAAAAATGTTTAAGGTTTTAGTTTTAATTTTGATGTACTAACAAAGTTAACTATAATAACCCTGTTTTAAAGTAAATCCTACACCAATTTTGTTTCAGTGTATATCGTACATCAGTTTAGATTAGTTTCAATAAATGATGCACCCAACAGCATGCATTTTTGTTTACATCATCCATCCATTTAATTCAACTTGTTGTACAAACATGACACAAACTAAAATTAAAATGAATAAACAATAAAGCTATAGACATATAAAACCTAATGGAAAAAGGCAAACCATTAAAATAAAAGTTAACTGAAGTGAAATGAAATCCATTCATCCATACGTACATCTCTGAAAAGAGGGAGAGCGAGACTCTCAAATGACTGGAGATCGACCACGTACTGACCGACCCTGCATTCACGTCCACCTGCGGCGGATTGAGCGCTGGATCAAACACAGAAGAGTGTGTTAGTGACTGAAGACAGCAGTAAATACACACGAGCAGCGGCTGATTGATGGAGAGATGATACCTGAGTCTGGACAGCCGTCCTCTGTCCCCTGTGAGTGTGACCACATCAAAGCCCACTCTTCTGCCTCGCTCTCGGACCTCCTCCGTGTAGAAACCACTGACAGAAACCCCAGCCGAGACCAAGGCATCACACACTTTCTTCACCAGAGTGGTCTTACCCACACCTAGCAGACAAAAACACTAGGTTTTAGGGTACCATGAATGGGTTTATTTTGTCATAATGACTGGCTGGCTGTAAATGATCTCACTGCATGACTGCTTAACTGATAAATTAATAAATGCACATGAAATATTAATTTGAATATTGAAATTTTATGTAAAAAGGAAAATGCTGTGAAGCATGGAAGACTGTTTCTGCCACAGGATAAAAAAAGTAAAAAGGTAACTGTGACTTTTTATCTAACAATTCTGACTTTTTTTTTCTCTCTCGCAATTCTGAGTTTATATCACAATTTCTAGACAAGTACATGGAAACTATCCAAAGTTCTGTTAATTCTAAAGCAGTGAAAACTGCATCTCTATATTCATCCTATGTGTCCTCTTAAGGTGGAAAAAAACAAAACATGGTTACTATAGTTAAAACATGGTAACCACTAATTAACCAAGGTTTTACTACACTAACCATAGATTAACCATGGTATTTGTACATGGTATTTAAACTGTGGTTAAACAACAACAACAAAAAACATGGTTACTACACTTTTACCATAATAAAACCATGGTTAATTTTCTTCAGGGATTTGTATTGGTGTATTTCTTTTTTTTATCTTTGTTTTGTTTTTATAATTGTCCTGCCGTAATGGTTTGTTGTTTCGTATACGGCTTAATAAACAAACAAAAAAAATAATAAAATCAGAAAAAAAGATTCGCGATACGCGACTGAATGATCGAAGTCACGGGTTTGAATCAATCGAATCGGTTCCAGCATAAATGACTCACTCAATTTAATCGGTTCCAGCGTAAACGACTCACTCAATTGAATCTGTTCCAGCGTAAATGACTCACTAAATTGAATCGGTTACAGCGTAAATGACTCACTCAATTGAATCGGTTTGTCTGTTCCTCCGCTTTTCGCGTCTTTAGTCATGTTTACACGAGTAATGGTTTGTTGTTTCGTATACGGCTTAATAAAATTTTTTTTTTTTTTAATCAGAAAAAAAAGATTCGCGATACGCTACTGAATGATCGAAGTCACGGGTTTGAATCAATCGAATCGGTTCCAGCGTAAATGACTCACTCAATTGAATCGGTTCCAGCGTATAGCGTCTTTAGTCATGTTTACACGACAATGTCAGCACTATTACTGGCTTAGCTCGCTAGTTTTATGACATTAACTAAAACAGTATGACGCTTACAAATAAAATATCCATATTTCCATTCCAAAGATAACACAAATCTAGGAACATATTCAGGTGAGGTAACTGATTTACTGCTAGCTAGTGAAAAACTCCATTAATACGACGAGCTGCCGCTCAAAATACATGTTAGATGGAAACAGTGTGCTTTATGATCGAATTTGTAGCTTAATTCACTATATTTGAAAAACGTTTCTACACATTTCTATGGGAATCGCTACTGAATGTGATGTGGAGGAGAAGGCAGAACAGAATGCGCGACTATTGCGTTTACTAAGTAAATATATGTTTCATTTTACCGGGAACGCCGGTCAGGAACACATGCTTCATCATTTACAGATGATTCCTGCTGCTTTATTTCAGGTCTGGATCCCACACATGTACACTGCTGCTACATTCTTCTTCTTCGTCTTCTTTTAGGTTTTTGGCGAGTTACACACTGCTACATAACTTCCGGCAGCATGACGCAAGCGCAGAGGAACTAACGCGCCACAGGATTCAAAAGTTTATAAATGAGGAAAAATGGGTCTTGTGCAACTTAATGTAGTTAGTTGCGTAAGGATATGTATTCATTTCTCACAAGGAATATGCACTAATCTGCTGTTTTTGTTTTAAATGAATGCACGATTTATTTAACTCTCAAATTACTTATTCTCAAAGAGGTGTAGGCTAAGGAGAAACAGTAAATTATATGTTGTCAAATAATTATATTTACAGGACTTAAAATTGTATTACTTTAGGGTCGTGCCTGATTATCTGCAGCTTTTTAGTAAAAAAAAAAAAAATGCACTACTAAAATAAACATTACAGTTTAACTTGAATTTAAGAAATAGTTTAATATCAAAGAAATATTGTGGAGGTGGTGTGCCAATAAGTAAAATATAACATACATTAAAAAATAAAAATATAATTTTCTAACTTGAACTAACAATAAACAGTTGTACTTTTATTAAATAAAGTCAACAAAGATTAATAAAAACGAACAAATGCATTGCTTTTTGTAAGTTAATGTATTATATGTGTGTATAATATATATATTTATCAAATTTGTATTATTAAACATTACTGTTATTTAAAAAAAAAAGTGTATATACTGGGTGTTTTTTGTCAGAAAATAAGCATATTAATTCATTATAATCCACATTCCCATTTTATCCCTTCTAAACGACTTAACACTGGATAAATTAATCCTTTATCAATGGATTTAAGGCTGTGATTTGGAAACAACTGTTTGTTTATTGCGGTAACAAACATTTTTTTTATTTGCTGTTTCACAAATTCTGAAATAGATTAATTAATAATAAAATCTCGTAAATACATGCCAACATATCAAAAGCTGCATTTGTTAAAACAGAATGAATACACGAATGACTGCTTGCTAATGAATGCAGTTCTATGCAACAGTTTAGTATATAAAAACATATTCATATTGACTAATAAATCAGATGTTTGATGGTTTCTGGTGTAAACTAATTTTCACGGTTATTAAATTAACATCATCTAATCACAGTGTATATCCTGGAAGTTTGCTGATCACCAGTTCTGAAATGTGACGGTAATTCTTGTCCAGTCCCAGAGAGCCCAGTTCATCCCGTTCCTCATCATGCTCTGAAGATGAGATGGACTTTAGCACCGGGTTATTAGCGGCTAAATCGGAGTCCTCTGACACCCGGCTAAATGTCATGCCCTTATCACCAGGGTCACTGTCAAAGCTCTCCGATTTTCCAAATGTCCTGCGCACAGATGGAGTCTTTTGTCCAGCGCTCTGCGATCCAGGCCTGTGACCTCCAGACTCAAACTCATCCTCATCTGAAGACAGACTCAGAGTGGAGGTCTGAAGACGTGGTCGGATGACGTGCGTGTTTTTAAAAGCACGTTGTGGAGAGTTCTTCGCTTTGACAGGAACAGGTAGACCTTTGCTTGGATGAGAGGAACTTGAAGTGCTCGAACCGCTGTTTCTTTTACGTCTGCTTGGTTCTGGACTGCTGAACGGGTCGGGTGAGTATCCCTCGGTTGTGTTTAGGCTTGTGAAGTCGTCCTGATACTCTTCTTGTCCGTAGGAGCCATTACTCAAGCTTGTCCTGCAAGGACGGCTGCTCGCTCTACTATCTCCTCTCTGGAAGCTAAGATTTGAATCATGAATAGATGAAGCTGAATGCTGGTCACTGCGGTCTGAATCCTGACTTGGAGCTTTTTTGTCGTTCTCAGTCAAATGGCCACATTCCTCATTTTGTGCGTTTGTGATATGCTTTCCAATACTTGGTCTTGTTTGTGATTTTGATGGAGTTTGAATTGGTGTTGGGTGCATATCAAAACTGCTAATTAATGTTTCAACGGTTTCATCTAAACGAACACCTCTGCTAACTGCCTTGCGAACACGTTTATGGTTAGATGATGATGGCTGGTCCCGTTTTGCATACTGGTATTCGATGCATTCGTGTCGTTTGGTACCTTGTTTGACCAGTTTGAGTCTGAGACGAAAAGTGTTTGTCAAGCCGTATTTAAGCGTCGTCTTAGGTTGCAACTTTGCTTTGTTTCTCTTCGCACCAGTTGCACTCTTTAATGCTTTCATCTTGCATTGATCAAGTCTCTGTTTAGGGTTCTGATTCTCAGCTTTGGGTTTTGCTTCTGACGGTTCCTGTGCTGATGTGTACAAGCACGCAAGGTTAGGATGAACCGATAAGGGCTGCTGCTGCGCCGTCTGGACGTTCAGCTGTGAGAGTTCAACTAGTAAAGCGTTCAGAAGTGGTAACTGTCTGATAACATCCCCAAATGGAGCTGAATCCGTCTCTTTATGCTGCGCCCTTGGAGTTGAAGTTAACTTAATCGATCCGTCCGCCTTTATCTCTGCAAAATCACGCATGTCAGATGATTCTACTTCATTATTTCCATCTTCTAGATCCTCAATATTAAGGCTCTCCATTGCTGCAAGTAACCCCGTAAAGCCTGAAATAGGAAATAATAGTTATTTTTTTAAATGAAACAGTTTGCGTATGTGTTTTTGTTGAGTATCATATTCGATACATCAGGCTTTATGGCTCATATAGTATGATATGGTGAAAATATGGAGGAAAAAACAGCTGTTTTATTGAGCAAAAATATGAAATTTGGTGCAGATGCTGATATATTTATATAGCCAAAAAGATGAAATTCTGTTGCTTGTAATGTAAATCGATGAGATCTTTATAACAGTGTAACAGACTACTTTACATAAAAGTCACTCTATATCTCCAATATTGTCTTAGTAAGATGATATTTACATGATCAAAATATATAATGCAATGCAATACAATGATGATTGAGGGATGAACTAATTAATGTTCCTCAAAAGCCTGATGATCACATTTGATACTCACATTTGAATATGATTTTTCTAAAAAATTATGTCTGGATAATCAAGTAAACCTAAGTTGCTTTAGTTCAGTAAATGCTCATCTTGAAATATTACTAACAATGTGCAAGTTATTCTGATGTTAAAATCAGTAAAGATTTGACATCTGGAGCATGAGCTGAAGGCCTTTTACTTGCTAAAAAAGTTTCAACTATCAATCAAATGACAAGGCATGTAGTAGATTGTGTGCAATAGGTTTTTCATCAAAGCTTTGATCATTATTAACATCCTACTTTTCCTCTCCTGTCGGTTCTTCACGCTGGAGCTGTAAACCAGAGGCGGAGGGCAGAATGTGGTGTATTCCTGTGCATCCTCAGACCATGAGATTCTCTGTTTTTTCTCTGTTGTTTCAGTTTGAGTAAAAGCTGGAACCCCTGGCTGCTTTGCTTCTGATATCACAATATCAGCAGATTGTCCATCCAGGCTTATTTGTTGTAAAAGGGCATTCACAGAATGATTCTCACCTACTTTTGGTGGCATCTCATCTCTTTCAGGACATCTTGCATGCACCGAGGGGTCTTGTCCTCCTTTTCCACGGGTCACACCGACTTCATAGACTCTGTTTTCTGGCATGTGAGGAATTAAATGAGCTCCTAGACTTACAATTTTATAAGCCAGAGAAATAGCACCTATGCTGTTGCCCATTAGATTGCATATTGGGGTGGTCAGTCTCTCTGCATAAGCGGATGGGTTGCCAATACCGTGTTTTTCAACATCCAATTTGATTTTCTCCGTCACTTTAGCGAGCGAAATCAACGAGCTTCCTATAAGTTTAGGAATCTCATCTTTTGCATCCAACACCATTGCGTAGAGAGGGGTGTTCATGAGATGAGCGTGTAACGAGTGCAAATTGATTTTAAAAAGACACGATTTGCCTTTATGGAAGGAATACTTGAGATGTTCTCCATCATCTGGTTGAGATATAGCCTCAGGTGATAGGCACAGATCAGCGTATCCTGATTTAGATGGACGATGCTCTTGTTTTGATTGGTATATCAGCAGTGTGGGGAAATCTAAGAAGCGAACAGCAACCGCGGGATCCAAAACATTGCCACGTGAACCGTCAAAGCGAACGAAATCGATCAGCAGTTCCAGTGAGAAGAGAGTTTCTTGCGTTGATGACATGTTCTTTGGCGTGAGAGTAAAACACAACGCTTTCATATATAACTAATCATGTTTAAAGGAGAGGTTGTTTATATGTTAAACGCAACGGAGATGAAACTGAACTCGGAAGCGGTGTGTGTGTGTGTGTGAGAGAGAGCGTCGCATCGCCTAGCAACGGCATCGTCGCAGGATTGATACGTCACGGACGCCGAGGGTTACTGGGAAATGTAGTTTATTAGTTTGTCCTTTTCATAAATGATTTTACTTTTACTTTTAGTCATTTAGCAGACGCTTTTATCCAAAGCGAAAATGTAATGTTGTTTAAAAAAACTGTCAATAAGTTAACTTCACTAAATAGTTTTAAATATGTAATTCAAGCACACTCAATGTGGTTTATTTCAAAATCCTAATTTGTATTTAAGACAAAAAAGTCATTCTTTGATGTCCTTCTGTAAAAAAGGTTTTCTTCAGTCTTCCAGTTGGGGCCACTATTACTCCAGGTTCAGATCATAGTTGTTTTTCAACTGATATCCAAGAATATTTCAACTTAAATACCCGAAGACCAAACAATCTCAACCTAAATGACCTGATGTGAAAACTATGAAGTTTTCAGAAATACCTTCGGTGAAAAGTCTATTTACCGCTGTATATATATATATATAGTGTATATTCCTGCCCTCCCTGTGAACAAGTGCGTGGGCGGAGTTTGGCAACAGCTCAACCAATCATCTGCCGCGGTGGGCGGAGCCACAGACCGGCTTCATGTGATCCGAACAAACGCCAGTATTTGGCTTGAGTGAGTGGAGGGTGAAGATACCAGCTGCTCTGAGAGCATCAGTGTTTCTCTGTGGAATATGATCATTCTCTGGCTCTGTATTTTAAAGGAATGAGACTGACGTTATGGGAGTTTCTTTTACTCTGAATGCTGAAGGTAAGGTTCACTTTTTTGAAAAGTAGCCCACTACCAGGCAGACAGTCTATGGTTGTTACTTATTGTGTTGCGATTTTTGTAACAATAGTTTCTTTTAGTTTAGTAAAGATGTGTCAGGTTTAGTAATGTAAACCCTTGGATTGTGACCTAATGAGCTGCCTACCTAGGCGTCACAGTCGCGTGCAGCAGGTTTGGGCGCGTTCCTTGTTGTCAACGCTAATGATGCCCAAATATGATGTCTGTTTGACAGCTCACTAAGTATTGAGAAAGTCATTCTGTTTGGGAGGTTTGTGAAAAATCAGTTCTCACTGTTGTTGTGTGTGTGTGTGTCCTTGAAACAATACTGAGAACTCAGGTGAAAATATCACACAAACACAGACTCATGACACATGCATTTTGTCATTTTGTATCTTTATTGTATTTATTATGGGATTTTCCTGTATCTCTGGAGTTATCAGGTTCAAATGTAGCCCAGGGACTGTGCTTTAAATAACACAAAGGCAGTCAAGATAAAGTTGATTTTAAACACAGGCTGTCAGAGATATCCACTAGAGGGCTCTTGAATGTTCTTTTGGATCAACAATCCAGTGCTATTGTCAAATTTTCTATTATAGTGATTATCCATAGCACATGTTTCCAATCCATTAGTCTTTGCAAGGCAGAATTAAGAGTTTGGTCATCTGAAACTATACCACAATAACATGCCGTTTATATGGTAGACATATTGAAATGTGAATGTTTAATTACTATGTTTACTGTTTAGTTGCGGTTCTGATGCTTGAGTGACAAATATCAGATAGTATATTTCTTGCTATGTAATTATACTTTATTTACAACGATATTTAAGTGTATTTTTAAGTATAATCTGTACTGTAGGCTTTGGTCTATCACATTTTTTGTCCTTTTCTTTTGTGGAAATCACAGATAACACTAACAACACTAACATGTTTGTTTTTGGATTTCATGGTATTCGTTGACATACCTTGTAAATACCATGGCATATGAATGTGACAATCATTCAGTAGCATAGTGTATATTAAAATACCATATCTGATGCCATTGTACTTTTTTGTAAGGGAATGAACAGCCTGTGCTGCTTTAAAGTTAATAATGAGTGATCACTCTTTATTCTGCTCTAAACAAAGAAATCATAAGTGCTTTAATGTCTTTGTTAACAGTTTAGAATTTAGTGCAAGCATCTTTATGCTGTGTGTGTCACTCAGAGGACTTCAGTATGAGTGTTTTCTCTGTCTTCTGAACGGCCAGCGTGTATCAGATTATGGTCAGGTAATTGCACGTTTGATTAGACAAGTTACACAGCCAAGTCCTTGTGTCAAGGTTAATAAAGCCATTTTCTTTATAGCCATATCAGTAATACGTGAGGGACACGGACAGGAGAAAATCCTTCTGATGTTCAGTTCTTTCATGCTGCCGAACGAAATTGCATCCCCGTCTCTAAGGATGAAAGCACCTAAGCCTTTATACTTTGTAGACTCAGAAGTGCATTGTTCTTCAAGGTGAAGTGTGCTACTAAAATAGTTTCTCCTAGTCTAGTTTAGGCCTAATACATAGAGACAACCGTATGTGAACTATCAGTGTTTATTTTCCCCAAAAGTGATTTGGTTGCAGATGGTGGGAAAAATGCATTGTTAAAGTTGTGATGAAACGGAAGTAGCGACAGATATTTTGTTCTGTATTGCATCCGAGTGAAATGGATTTTTGAAAAATAAAAAATGTAGGGTTGGGTTCAATCTATCGGTTGTTGATTGGATTTTAAGAAATGAGCATTGCATTTAAAAATAGTTAAATATATGCTTATGCACAAGAGAAATGTTCACACTAAGATCAACATGCATTTAGAAAATAGATAGGATGCATTTTGATTTAATGCAGACATTAAATGCAAATAACACACAGCAGCTAACCGTCTAGTCACGCATGCATAAATTGACTTATTGAATCCCAGATCTGTTGTTGTTGACATCAAAGGCCGTTCATTCAATCAAACTCTACAGCGCTAATTGATCTGTCATTTGGTAGAAGTTAAACAAACTACAAAGATGCCACTGCCGCATTGTGGTGAAGTGAGGTGAGAATATTGACAAGGTGAAAGACTATGGTATTAGTCAGTGTGCATTTTAAATAGTCTCTTAATAGACGCTTGTTGTAGGCAACAATTGACAACGTTGACACTCATTGAACTAAACTGAATCAACAATTAATCTCAATTAGGGCTGTGCAATATATCGAAATTTAGGGCCCTATGATTTCCACAATGCAGAAAACGCGGACGGAATTACAGAATCCAGTCATAAAAATCGAATTTACTGCATAACGCGGAATGTCACGGAATTTGTCAAAGTTTGGATGAAGTAATTAAAAGTAGGTCATTTCACTTTAATCAAATCGTGATATGGACTAGTATATGTAAATATTAAGCAGACGTGCGGTTTCATTTAGTACACATACTGAAGCGCGCGTGACGCTTGCAGTGGTTTCAGTGTTTTAATAAATTGATGTTAAATAAGTTTCATGATTTGAATTAGTTAGATATGCTTTTTGATTAATGAAATTTAATTTAGGCCTACCCATAGAAGGGCAAAACTGAATTTGGAAAAAAATAAAACAGGATTTGGGAAAAAATAAAATGGATTTCATAGGGCACTACACTGTTGTCTTCTGTAGCGATGCTTTGTAGCTGAAATTCGAAAGCGCTTTAAAATAAATTGATGCAACATGATTGATGCAATTTTGCAACGTTAACATTGTTACTGTTTATTACTGTAAAGCAGCTTCGAAACAATCTGTATTGTGTAAAATGCTGTATATAAAGGTGCCTTGGCTTGACTAGATTAAGAAAGTTGTGCATTTTCATTGTTATTGGCAAGTTTCCTCGTTGTTTCCTTACATTCCCCTGGGAGAAACGAGAAGATTGTCTTCCCATCGCTGGGTTTAGATGGCACAGTGACTGCAGACGGATGTTTATCTTGCGTTGCACTCCTGAATGCATTCATAACATAATGACAGGAAATTAAAGCTCATTTTGGAGTCCTCTCTTGAAATAACATCTGTCAGGACAGGTGGACAGCTGCTCGCTACCCTCACATCAAGCAGGAACTCTGTTTAACGTGCACCAAGTTAGTAGGCGTTTTGATGGGTTATTTGCATTGTTTTAGTGTGTCGGATATGGAAACGTGTTTCAGTGTACTGTAATACCAGTCTGATTGAATAGGACAGGGTTGTGAGACAACAAACATATGAATCTTAGCTGTGCATCTAATCCGTCGGATAGGAAAAGAATATCTTGAGACATGGCAATCAGGCCCAAAGTATGCCAAGACAACGGTTTATCGCTGTTATCGACCTCATTGTGTGATATTACAAGGATATTTCATGTTTAACACAGGTGGACAGCTGCTCGCTACCCTCACATCAAGCAGGAACTCTTTGTTTAACGTGCACCAAGTTAGAAGGCGTTTTGATGGGTTATTTGCATTGTTTTAGTGTGTCGGATATGGAAACGTGTTTCAGTGTACTGTAATACCAGTCTGATTGAATAGGACAGGGTTGTGAGACAACAAACATATGAATCTTAGCTGTGCATCTAATCCGTCGGATAGGAAAAGAATATCTTGAGACATGGCAATCAGGCCCAAAGTATGCCAAGACAACGGTTTATCGCTGTTATCGACCTCATTGTGTGATATTACAAGGATATTTCATGTTTAACCAGAAGAGATGAGATGGACTCCAAATGAAATGGATTAGTAGAGGCCATCTGCTCTTCATGTTTACTGGCAACTCATTCAACATCTAATGGAGCCCATCAAAAATGGCCTTTCCTAAGGCAATAGTCACTATTATTAATGCTTATAGTGATTTGTAGAAACCATTGATGCTGAGTATGAAACTTCATCAAATACGTTTATGCGCCAAACATTAATGATTCCTCAAAATCTTAAAATAGGCAGTCCACAAACTCAAATCATATCTACAGACCAAAATATCACAGACACTTTTGGTTTGTGTGCATTGGAGAAGATTTTTATTAGTGGCCGATATTTGGCATTTTTTAAATATCGGCATCGGCTGATAAGTTTTCCTGTTTGTCCGATGCGTTCGAGGCGGACTTTTATTTTGACAGCGCTGAGATCGGCAGCACCTGAGCACACAGTGCTCACATTCTCCCTCTTGTTCGCTGTCGTCGTTAACAGTTCTGTCTAATACGGACAGAAATCTGTCTAATAATCAGATAGAACGGTTAAACAAACAAGTGTGCTGTATGTAAAATTAGTGTTACCTTAGCTTTATTTGAAAAAATATGATTCCCAATGCACACAAACTTCCCAGAATACTGATTGCCCTGTTGGTTACAGTGTTTACTTCATTTTTTATTAAATATTTATTTATTTATGAAAAATACTTTGTCATCTAAAGTATACGTATGTTTATTTAACACATTTATTTTTTAATTCATTTTCAAATTATTTTTTAATTTCTTAAATATTAATTAAAATAAATAAAATTATATCGGCTTTATATCAGCCATCGGCCACCCTGCTTGCCAAGATATCGGCATCGGCATCGGCTGTTCAAAAAAACAATATCGGTCGACCACTAATTATTATTATTATAATTATTTACATTATTTCTTTGCATATCATTGCATATTAGCCATGCAAATTTGTGCTTGGTTTGTAATCAGTCACCCGTCTGGTTCATTCTCTCTTGTACTTGTTAATGACCAACACTTGTGACTGGCATCATCAGAGCAGATCTCTGCCAGCTGCTGGTTGATACCACAACAGGCCTGTTTGTTTATTCGAACCGCATTTGTGTAACTGTTGTCATTTGGCGGAGATGCGAGTATCACAACAATGAATGTTTTTTGTTGGTTTTGGAATGTGGAAAATGTAATCTTTTTAAAAAAACGGAGTGTTTTATCAGCTCTCAAACATGCTGTTGGGTTATTCTGTGTCAAATCAACCAAATTCCAGAAA